AGCTTTTAAACATATAATTTAATAACTTCGTAAAATGAACTTATTCTCTCTTTTAAGTAAAGGGCTATTTAACCACACAAACAGATCATGTAAACAGTGACACAGGACCCATCGCGAGGATACACTGGACACACCCTTCACAGACGCGCACAACCAGTGATCTTGGTCTTGTTCAGTGCAATGCGTTAGGCCCGAGCGCTGCACCCCTGGCCTGCAGCCTCACCACGCCCCCGGCTGCTGTGCCAGGCTGGGGCTCAGCCCGCAGGAGCCTCACGGGGTACATCTGCTTTTCAGAGAAGGGCCAAGCTGCCCACCGGCCTCTCCAGAAGGAATCGAGCAGCCCCCTCCAGCCGGGAGCAGCAATCAGGGGTCTCCTGCTGGATACCCCCTGCTCAGGGACACGCAGGTCCCACCTCTCGCCCGCTCTCTCGTCTGCCTATGGGGGCAGACTCCAAGCCCACATGGCCGTGGTACAAGGGGGCGAGGGGCGACCCAATGTCACCGCCGAACTGACCAATCCCAACGTACGAGACACACAAGGACACAATGAAATCCAAAGGGCTCAGCCCGGCGCCCGGTGGGGGTTGTGCTTTGCAGGGCGGGGAGGAGGTCGAGAGGAGGAGGAGGAGGAAGGAGGAAGCCAAGAAGAGGAAGAGGGAAGGAAGGAGGACAGGGCTGCCGAGCTCGCCACACGCCTGGCGGCCCCTCGCTGACCCACCCGGGCGCACGCGTCCCTACGACCGGGCATCCGCCTTGGACTTAACTATCGTGATGACGCTGGTGGCGGCCACCTTGCCAGGGACGAGGGGCCCCAAGCCGGCGGTGAGGGGGCCCCGGGCCGGTGCCACCGGGCTTCGGGCCACGGTCCTGGCGAAGTTCTGCAGGGCCTCATACTTGGAGCGCAGGGCGTCAAGCTCCAGCTTCATGCTGGCGTTCTCTGAAGCCAGCTTCTCCACCTCCTGCTGCAGCTCCGCCTTCTGCTTCTCCAGCTCCTCCTTCTGCGTCACCCGCTTCACGCGGCAGCTGGCTGCATAGCCGCGGTTCTTGAGCGTGCGCCGGCGCTGCTTCAGCTGGATGATCTCCTCCTTGGAGAGGCCGCGCAGGTGCTGGTTCAGCTCCCGCACAGACATGGTCACCAGCTCTTCATCTGTCAGGCTGGTGCCATTCTCGCCAGGCTCCCGCTTCACCTGTGGTAGACGGCGCATGGTCAGGGCCATGCTCCCGCCATGCCCCACCCCGCTTCACTTGGGGTGGACGGCGCACGGTCAGGGCGGCACGCTCCCATGGCACCCCACCCTGGGCGCTCCTGCTCTCCTACTCACCTTCAAGGGCTTGCTTCCTTTATTGGGGGTCGTCATAACCCGGGGGCGCAGCAAGCAGACTCTCTCTGCAAGACATGGGGCAGAGGTCAGGGCCCGAGACCCCCGGTCGGCCTCCCATGCCCGCCCCTCCCACCCCTGCTCACCTGCCCATTCCCCCATACCTGACCCCAGGACAGCCCGTCGGTGGGCCTCTCGGGGCGGGCGGGGCTGCTCCCTGTGCACCCTACCCTTTGGGACTCAGGTGGGGGGCTGCGAGGGTCTGATGGGCAGGGGAACTGACAGCTGTGAGGGAGGCAGAGACGAGAAAAGGGGCAGGGGGAGATTAGAAGGACGAGGATGCGGGAGGGGCCAGCCCAGGAGGAAGCCAAGAGCTTTAAAAATAACCCGGAGCTCGGGCCCCAGAGTGGCTGTTCCCGGCGAGTCACGCTGACTCAGCATATCACCACTCCCGCCCAGCCAGCCCAGCCACACCGGCACTCCCAGGGCCCCCGCCAGCCAGCACAGCCCCAGGGGACCCGGGGAAGCAGGCAGTGGGAAGGCCAGCCAGGCCAGCAGCAGGTGAGGGCCGTGCAACAACCCTGAGCGCGTGAGTTCCGGGGTCCTACCTCCAGCTGTCACTAGGACAAGGTCCCGGCTCCCAGGAAGGCTGGAGGCTTGTTCCCACTGGGGACTCGGCAGAGACAAGCAGAGTCCCCCAGAGATCTAACTTTACAGAGCTGGGGGGGCAGGGCCACCCAGGTAGCTCTGAACCTTCTCAGGCGTGCCCCACCTTGAGGTGGCACCCAGCCCAAGGCCACCCCGGCGCTCTCCATCTACATCCGCGGCTGATGGGGCAACCGGCCTCCTGGCCGAGGTTACAGCATCCTGTGTCCCTGCCCCACCCCGTCGGGGTATTTCACAAGGACCTGCACAGCAGCCACCGGGGCCCTGCTCAGCGGGCAGCCCCTTACCCTGGGGTCACTGACCACTCAGGCCAACAGCCCAGGTCAGTGCCCAAAGGGCCAGGAAACCAAGACAAAGAGCCACCCCACCCACACAGGGACCCTCCTGCCCACCCCCTAAGTCCTACTGAAGCACGGCCAGGGCATTTTTGCACACCTGCCCCTTCCAGATCTGTAAGCCAGGACTTTCCCCCCACCACCACTGTGCCCCCTACTTTCCAGGTGAGACCCAGGGAGCTAAGCAGCAGTTCAGGAGAGAGGGGTCCATGAGGAAACTGAAGCTCAAGGCAACATGGGCTGGGGTCTTTCTCGTCTCCTCAGAGGAGCTAAAGAGGGGGTAGGGGAGGCGGAGACACCTGTCCATACTTGACAGAGACCCCATCTCACACCTCATACGCAGCTGCCCACCCACAAGCGAGAGTGGGAAGGAGGGGCCAGGGACACCCTCCCCTCTCGGATCCTTCCAGGTCCAAAGATGGAGACCAGGGGCTGGAGGCCAGAGAGTCCTCGCCCACACGCCCCAGGAGCCTGGAGGAGCTCAGGAGCCTGGAGCCTGAGCAGGTGCGGGGACATAGCCCTGAGTTTTTGCACAGCCCAGGCAAAGGTGGCCCCAGGCGGCCTTGGCACCAGCTTTTCCCACCCCCTCCCCTGGCTCAGCACAAGGATGGCTTCCTGAAGAGATCGCACAGAAAAGTGCCGAGCGTGGCGGCTGGAGCAAGCGGAAAAGTGCCTCCTCGACAGATTTCACCCTCACAGAAGGCCTGAACTCAGCACAAGCGCAGCCAACTGCTCCTAATCAAAGGTGCGCCATGTGCACGTATACGTGTGTGCATGTGCGCGCACAGTGTGTGCACACAGTGTGTGCGTAGGTGCGTGGCCTCAGCAAAGCCAGGGTTTCTGGCCCCCTGGCCTCTGCCCACCCAGAAGACACAGACAGCCTGGGGATGGGGTGGCAGTGAGGGCTCCAGAGCACCTCCAGAAACTAGAAGGGGGTCCCAGAGGCTGGTTAAGATGGAGCTGCCCACCCCAGCCCTCCTCCGAAGGCTGGTCACCCACCTACCTGCATGACTGAAAATCTTCTTGACAAAAGACCAACCCTCCACCACCCTAGAGGCTGAGCCCACCATGTGGAGAAGCCGTCCAAGGGTCCACCAAGGGCCCTGGGCCACCCGCCAGGCTGAGGGCCAGGCAAGGGACAGGGTCTGGATGGCATCCCCTTCCCCTGGGGCCCAACCCTAGGGCCTGCATGTGGCAGAAGCAGATTTCATCCTGGCCTGCCAGCCCCGGTGGACCAGGAGTGCCTGTGGACACTGTGGACGCCCCAGCCCAGCTCCCACTAGCCCTTCAGACCCACCTCGTCCAGAGAGCCCTCAGCTAGGAAGGCACTCTAGCCAAGAGTCTAAACCTCATTTCCTTCAAGCACAAAGGACTGCTAAGACAAAAGGAACACCCTCCAGGAACCTGCATTTTCCGAAGAAATACAACTCCAGCATAGGAGTCTCTAAAATGTGGAAACAGCTCAAAGCCCCAGAAGACAAAGTGTAAGGTTTTAGGGGGTGTGGCACCCCTGAGGGCAAACCACAAGGCCAGGCTCGCAGAGCCCTGACTCCAGGGCCAGGAACCACTCACACACCCCAGGAGAGCCAGCTCAGGCCACAACACCCTCCGGCTGTCCCTTCCCAAGAGTCCCTGGCCAATAGGACCAACGGTGACACCCACCAGGCCCCCGTTTCCCTGCTAACACAGACCCAACCTCAGGTGGGGACAACTCTGAGGTCACAGGACAGGGCATTCTCCCATCCCATAACGTCCACATCAGGCCATCGGCTGTGCCCCAAAACCAGGCGCCCCAAGGCCAGGCACCTCACAGCTCCCACCACCCCCAGGTGAGCATCGACAGATGCAGTGCATGCTCACCGAACCCCTCACCCTCCTGAATTCTAAGTCCTGCTGCAATTTCCTGGTGCAGCCGTCCTGGAGCCCTGTCCTCTCTTCCTCCCACTGCCTCCCTTTCTGGCCAGGGGCTGCCCAGCCTTCCTAGCCCTGCCAGCACGGCCCCCCTAAACTCCTCCCCTCCTCTCAGCTCAGAAAACTAGTTTCCAGTTTGGGGAGCTGCCTCAGAACCGGGACTAGACCACTGCCCAAGAAGAGCGTGCCCGGCAGGGGATGACCAGGCCAGACGCGTCACCTCCTAGCCCGCAGACAACCTGTAATGGGACCTACTCCACTTCCTCCTCACCACCCTGCCTCCCATCCGCACACTCGACCCAGGCAGCCAGTCCGCCGCGTCCCCGGGGCTCTCCTTCACCCCTCGGCTCCGGGCCTCGAGCCCCCAACCCCTCCCCCAGGTCCCCCCCACCCCCCGGCGCGAGGATGAGCGTCGAGTGACCTCATGCTGATGACTCAGCAAAGTCTCCCTCTGGGCTCGGGCACGCGTGTGAGGGAGCCGCGGCGGCGCGAGCAGGGCTTTCTCCGCCGTCCGCACGCGCCGCCCCCGCCCCGCGAGGACCCCTGCGCAGCGGGGACGCGGATACCTGATGAATCAGCAGCTCGGCGCCGGCGCCCGCCGAATCTCCCGCGGACACCTGGCCGCCCGGCGGCCCGCCCGACCCCACCCTTCCTCCTGCCGCCCCTCCCTCTCCGGGGAGCCCCGGTCTCCGCCAAGTCGGCTCCGCAGGCGCCCCGCTCTGGACCTCCGGCGTCCCCGTGGCCAACCCTGGCACCCCGGGCGGCAGCGGCCGGGGCTGGGTCCTGATCTATGGGGAAATCGAGGCACGGGCCGCCCGCAGGGCGCGGGCCAGACCCAGACGCGTCGGAGCAGCGC